GCCCGGGAAATAGGTATGTATTTAGTGTCACAACCCCTGGTATGCCCAAATATGGGAGGAAGTCTACTGCTTCCTTTCTCTGTCTATCAGCTCGTCACAAGAGACCATCCAGACAGAAACCCAATATTTTTACTGTTGCCTTTGTTACATTTGTATATAAATATGATTAACAGATAACCATAAATTAATGCTTAGTTATTAATATTAGTTTCTTAAGGTCCTAGTGTAACTCCACTCCTTATCCAAATAACATTTCAGATGAAAAGAATTATTCCAACAAAAAGGATTAAGTTTGATAAATTCACGTTGCTCACAAAATTGAAGCAATATTTAAATGAGTGTAAGAGATCCATAAAAAGTTTTATACATATTTGTGTCACAGATTTAATTACCCAACTAATTATATCATTAGTGTTAGCAGTATTGATATTACCTAGCTGAGTAGCAAAAAGTCTGCAAGAAAACATCTAAGATCAGAGATCACCAAGGACTCCATAATTCAACCCTGAGTTACATATAATGCATTCTACTGATTTCTTTCATAATTTATATACTTCTTGATTCCTATACCTAATTATCTGACCAATCTTTCTGCAATTTAGACTTAATTTTTTAATTAAATTTTTCACTGATTAGTGTGAAGAACTCTTTCACATTTCCTCTCTTTACAGAAAGAAATGAGAAAGAGGATGCTTGGCTTTCTTTATGTGTTAATTGGCTCTTCCATAAAATTTGCATTTGGGGAATAGATTCAAATGATCTTTTCCATGAAAATATTACAGTAGATTTTACATTAAAAATAACTATTAAAATAATTTTAATTTCAAAATTGCCAACCTATAATACTATAGAACACATGCAATACATACTGTAAAATTCCATATGTTCAATATGTATAATTCCTAAAATTGTAGTAATTCTATTATTAACCTAATCATTAGAAGAATCCTATCTTATCTCAGTAAAATAAATTAATAACTGAACATCAAAGATATATTTTAAAGATCTAAAACTGAGTAACACGTTACATTCCAATTCATTAGAATGGGTAGCCGTATTTTAGAACTGTAATTTAATTTTTTAAAGGCCTTGATTGCTTGTTGCAGCCTTATGCCAGAAAAATAGGTTTTAAACATCGTAACCAAGAAATAAGAGTATCCAGAAAAAAAGGTTTTAAACATCGTAACCAAGAAATAAGAGTATACTTTGTTTACTCTGAACAGCTTGTGAAACAGATGTGGTGGTTTGGAGCATATGATGCATATAGAATTGAATTATTTAGTGCCTTTGTTTAAAATATTTTACATTTTTAAATTTTTTTTACAATATAATATTAATATGTAAACATGCAAATACAAGAATAAAGAAGTTATTTAATATTAGTGTAGATATTATCATTATCCTTTTCCAAACTTTAGAAAAAATGTATATATGCATTTATTTATATGGGGGGATTAAATACAAATTTTATACCAAAATAGTCTATTGTAACATCAAGCTTTAAAAAATACATTTCACACAAAAGTAAAATTTATCAAACTGAAATAACTCTTACAGTAATGAAGATGGATAGTCTTTGGGAAAAATTTCCTGCTACTTAGTCATGGCCTTTAGTCTGTTTGTGACATTGCTAGCAGAAGCCTTCAGGAATTACTGTACAGTTTTAGTAAATATCATTTACTCTCAAGCCTTTGATATTCCATTCTGTTGCACAAAAATTACAAATTAATAAATCACCTATTCCACAAATTTCAGCCATGAACTTTATTAAAAGAGCCCTAGGAATATATTCAACAAAATATGAGAAATTATAATGAATAGGAAATCCTGTTGAAGAATATTTCCAAACAAAGTATCATGTAGCTGTGCATTCTCAATGGACATGAAAAGGAGTATCACCATGCAACATGCAAGCCAGCAAGAACAGTGTTAGTTTCCATGGTCCATAAAAACATTGTTATTTGATTGTTTGGCAGTAGCCACAATTCTTTTTTCCCTATTTATATAAAATAAATAAGGTGGGCTTTGGATGCCACACAAAAACTAGTGCTGAACTCTAGACATTTTAAATTTCACCAAGTTAGAGAATCTTTTACTTAAAGCAGTTAATGCCAGATAATGCACAATATTTGGCTTGATAGACAAATGCTATGCTTTAGATTCAGATTCTTGTGTCTCTGGTTCTTTATTTCTGGGTTGTCTATAATTGTTTTTATTCTGTTTCACAGGTTAAGGCAAAAAAACAATAAAGCCCAGCTACCTCAAATAAAGATACAACAGAGTTCATAAATAGCTTTAATTTGTAACAAAAAATTAAAGAATGTTATAATTGTATGGAAGACAAAGTAGAACGAGCTCAGACAATTTTTCCCCAAGTTGATAAAAATATTTAGAAGCCCATCTAAATTTAGGTTGTAGTATCTATACTATCCATTAAGTTAGAAATCCAAATTTGCCTCAAGAACTGCGCAGGATGATACCCCTTTCTAAATCCCATTTCTTGAGCCAAGTCCTTCTCACTCAGCAGTCTTTTTCTGCTTCTGTGCAGGGAAAAAATAATAATCCTTCTCTATTCTTAGAAATGATTAACTTTTGAATGCTGAACTTCTATTGGCTAGATAATGTCTTTAGGCCAGGGAGTTATTTTATGTTATAGACAATATTGTGACTGAAATTGTTCCCGACTCCTACATTTTACAGCTGAATTTAAATTTTTTGATAAGAAGGAAAAATAGATGTAAATTAAAGTGAAAGACCAACTACCTAGTTGAATTTGGAAGTTCATTGGTTTATTATTGAGAAATATTTTAACAAAGTTTGGAATGTTTAAAAATAAGGTATCAAATACTTCAATAAATAATTGGAGTGAGAAGAAAATGTTAGAAAGGTTGCTTTATTTTTTGTTCCTGTTGCTTACTTAACACATGTAATCCGCTGACTTTTCCCTTCTTTAAAGTAATGAAGACACTTGAAAAAAAACCATCACTACTACACAATATTTAAATAT